CTCTTCAGCGCTTAGATCAGAAACGAACTTCATATCGAAGGTTTGTGCATTCTACGAATCTCAAGCATATGTAGACTCCACTTGTCAGAGAACTATTGGGTAACTGTTCAAACAAATGCCTAATGATTGTTCTGATGGGATATCATAATTCTGTCAGTCCCTCAGAAATACTTTTTGTATTCCAGTAGCTCTCACATTATTGATTCAGATTCAGTCCTAATCCATTCCAGACGAGTGAGTATCAGACTCTATATTTCGAACAAATTAGAGACTGTTGATAATTCAGCTAGTTTGGATTCCATCTTGCCCAAACAGTTCCGGGGTTCTAAAATAGCCAGACGACTTTCATATTCAGGTAAGCTAAATCTGAAGGCACTAATACCAGCCGGTCCACTAACCCTCAATTGAGACGAGACAACGGGGTCAATACGTATATATATATATATATATATATATATACTCTGAAACAAATAGCTACAATGTTTCATCATCAAAATAATGCATGGCAGGCCGTTTTACAGACTATCAGATTTATGCAAGGGAGCCACTGTAGAGGCTTTCTTATACTATCCAGGATGTGCGTTCGTGAGGTGACAATCGCACAATCGGTTAGAGATTATTTCCATTACGGTGTTCCGTCGGACCCATTCGACCAGCGAAATGTGCTTGGTACTGTCGGTAGCTAGCCATAGACGCAATCGTGTACTACCCCGTGGGATGAATGTTTTGTCAATTTAAGGTTCTGTGGTCAGTAATCTTCTATTTAATCTGACAGGGGTCATTTTAACTCTGTGTAATTTTCTGTTCGGGAGGCTATGGTCACAAAGCGGTTCGATGTGAGCTCAGCATCCGATGACAACCAGTAACATAATGCAGACGTCTCGAAGTTCCAGATATCCGTTTTGAACCAAAGTTAATAATGTATCTTCCTACATTATACCCTCGATCTTTGTGATGACAATGGTTTAAAAACATAGTCCTTCTTATATAGTCAAAAATTCCATTCGTTGGATCCAGTTGGTTACTCTATTCATTGATACAGGAGGCGTGACTAAAGAGCAGAGAAAAGGTGTGATTTAGATTAAGCTGGTCCCGGTGATGATAGCGGGTATTTTTCAATCTGTCTATTTTCTGATATGAACACGTTCGCATATTGGATATCAACGTTCCCAGTGATTACCAATAAACGGTACTGGCGACCTTAATAGTGCTGAAGTAGGCAATCATCAATCGTTCTCCTTACATATGGAATACTTTTACACGTGGGCATATTTATTCCTGGGGCTCGAAACCGGTAATAATTAGTTCAGAGTATTTTTAATTCATAAAGACTGGTCGTAAATGTGCATGAGAGAGCCTTTGGGTGTATATAGAGATCGGTTTACAGCAGCAGTAGCAACAACAACAACAAAACATGAAGCAAATTGCCACATGATTCCCCCTTACTGGCATACATATTCTACATAGGGTTTAAACATCAACAATGTTGGCCTGTTATCCAAATTAAGATTCGCTGAAGCACGTTTGTGATGTTCGTTTGCTTGGCCTGTACACCTATTGAACTCAGAGATCAGATAGGTACCAGAATGATGATTTTATCACAGTTTTCAATCAAATTTATCTGATGCAGTAAACATGATAGGAGGACTCGTGTCATTCGGCAGTTACCGATTCGGGCACTGAGTTTTCTGACCGGTTATTCTCTGGTGACAATTATGCATAATTGGTCTGAAATTTGATAACAACCGATATAAAGATTTACAAGCAGGTAGTTCGTACTCAACTACACAAGTATTCGGCTTACCAAACCCAATTCAAATCAGATTGTCAGTAATCTTAATAAAGTCAACCTTTGAACATGGCTGTCGGATGATTTTGATAGATTTTTCCTACCTAAAACACCGACCAACTGTAGCAGTCAATAATGACTGGCACACAGTGTTGATTTCATTTTTCAATGGTGCATAAGAAACTGGCCAAACAGCCATCATTTATTATTGTGAATGGATACTGTTTCAGGAAACATATTTATTCTCTACTGCCTGCACTTCCACATTGAAGGATAAAAATTGTTTCGTATTTCATCATTAAAATGGCAATATCTATTTCAATAAGGTCCATTTGCTCATCTTAGTTTTTACTAATGCAAAAGCTGAACGTTTTCCCAATCGCTTCTCGTGGTCCTATGTGATCGCGCTTATTCTAGACTTATTTCAACTATGTGACATAGAATCAAGACACAGGACAGGTAAAGTATTTGTTGTAACTGGTGAAGAATTGAATGTCATCACATTAGCTACATAACCAGAACATAAAAATCCGTAACCGGGCTATGAAATCCTATTTACAACAGATAGGATCGGTTGTTTCGATTGGGTTCTCAGTCTAAATGCAGTCAGGCTGACGGACCAACCGCAATAAGTAAGGCATTAGTGAGGATCCTTGTGTGGAGGTTGGTGCAACGAGGAACTTGAATCTGGGAAGGTCAACATGCAGGAAGATGATGAGAAACCTCTGATTGGATTGGATGAAAGCGAAGAAAACCATTCCACGGAGGTAAACATTCAACAGTACCAATGGTCGTTTTTAATTCAATGATAAGCAGGTATGGTAAATTATTAGAAAGCATATAATGAGTGGGTTTAAATGTAAGCGTGCGCAAACAGCTTGGTAAGATAAATAAGTACAGGAGGCGATTAGAGACTACGAACTGAAAAGGGAAAACAGTCGGAGCTCTGTTGCAGAAAAAATCGTGAGACTTGAGGGATATCTATCTGGTTGAATTTTCATCTTTCTCTGATCAGTGGTATGTTTGCATAGGGTGCCCCTCTGTAGGGAAGAAACGAAATCTGTACGCTTAGAAGGGATCAAAGAAGGGTTGTGAGATGGGAAATCGGTGACAAATTATCCCGCAGGTTTGGAAGAATAGTCATCCGAGTGCAGTAGTCCATTGATGATATCATCACGAGAAATAAAAAGCGGGTGATTTAGATAAATGCGGAAAATTAGAAAGGTTGAGAATGCAGCCCCTGGAAGAACACCAACAGAAGCGACTAACGGGGCAGAGCTTTCATGGTGAAAAAGAACACATTTATGAAATATCTTAGTTGGAGATGGCTAATGAAAGTGAGAATATTTGCATCGGCAAGAAAAGATGTAGGTTGGTCTGTTTCAAAGGTTACGTTATAATGATCGGAGCGATTTCTAGCATTACCAAGTTAATCCTATGATCACGGTTCCGTGTGTTTGCGATAGAATCGGAATATTTCTGTCTCAGGATGGATATCGTTTCATTTATAGAATATACATGGTCATGAAAAGTATCAAAACTTACACTCTTCCATCGCCCATACTGATTTCCGAAATGTGATTTATGATTATTCATACACAGACAAACACACACATGCATATATAGGGGGACACGCACGATCTGTTCGGACATAAAACTCGTCTCGGATCATCGAACGTGATTATGTTCTGTGAATTTCGATCTGTCCCGATCTCAGTTTATGTGATGAGATGAGATCGGAGTGGTCTGTTCATCGGCCTAATATAAATTAGCACTGGAGATCGGGAAATGTTGTGCAACAGGCGACTAAGGTTGACTGGTCGGTCGATCGGCTGATCGGTTGGATGTCCGTCCAAACTTAATTTGCTCTGGCAAATCATGTTCGATCATCAAATGAAGAAACAAATATACATATATTCTGTTATCGCGATTGAAGAAGAACCGGGGTTGTGGGCGTGTGGCGGGGGAAGGCTACTAATCTAGACAAATGTTGCTATACTATGATTTAAATTTTTGTATGCACACAGCATCCGGAAAACGTAAACGACAAATCAGCGTTACTGCAATATGGGCATAACTTTTACTTGATCAACGGTTTGTATAAATCATTCAATATACGAACCTGGAACCAGGCGTATTGAAACACACGTAAATTCACTGTTACATAATCTCAGATATTCAGTAAGGTTTTAACGTGATTGAACACTCTTTTATTTATGTGCATCCATCCTGTTTGAAAAACTTTAAAGCTCAAAAAATGTCTTTGGATATCATAAGAGTATGTACAAGAAATGTGTCAATTTATTGGTGAGTATTTTAAGAGCTTCAATTCGTGTTCCTCACCACTGGTGAGATTGGTAAGGTATGGTCACGACCTAACTAACGAACCCAGGCAGAAAAATTGTTAGACCATCGTGGTTGAAGCGTAAACTAAGCATACTACCTCTTATTCACTTCCTTCGTATCGATTTGACACGATTTATCGCTCATTACTGTAGGTTATCGACTTGCTGAGATTCGCTGAGCTGCGAATTGAGCAAGAATTCTACGGAGCCCTCTTAAATCTCCTTAAGTAAATTTGGTTATGTCAAACATAAATGACAGTAAAAATCAAGTTTAATAGTTTGTGATATATAAACAAAAAAGAAAACAATTATAACCAACTGTTAGTCTTGGAAAAGCTCAGCAACCGAGAGTCGTAGAGTGTGGGGATGATTTGTACGAAGAATGATTGGGCAAAACGATCTTCTGTTTGGTGCTGCCGGCTGATCAGCTGTTGAGATGATCGCGGTAAAAATGGCGGTCCAATAAGTCAGCGCTTTCAATGGCTATTTGAAGACAGTCTAAGATCAGTAGTCAGGGCCGACAGATGAATCTCTCAGAGCAGTTCACTAGCTCCTCTACGGACCAGCCCTGAAAACGGAATGACACACAATGCTGTCATCTATCTGTGGCTCGAGCACATGTTTACACGTTGGCTGACTGACTGACGCGATTTCCCAATGCTGTATTACTAGTCTAGGTTTTAGTGTTCATTACCCCTTAATCTTATGACATGACTATCGTAAGCGGATAAACACTGGAAGAGGACGCTTTAATCAAGTTTTATGAACGATATTAACCGCACCGGTTGGGATTCGTTTAAAATCTAAACTATCAGTCTGAAGCAGATTAAAAACCAATGACAAATTGATTATTTCAAAAGAAAAGACCAAATTGCAGTGCTGCACGATTTATGTCCCGGACGATTGCGCTGCATCTCAACGTGGTGTATAGGCATAGCTCGACATCTTTTGATAACACAACACCGGATCGACCGAAGCACTGCGTTTCGGATTATCACAAGATTGCTAAGGTTTGCAGAAGCGATTGCTATCAGCCGATGGAAGCCCCCGTGTGTTAACAATACAAACTTTATGCCAGTTTTTCCTTATCTTGGTGATTAGTCCTTTTACCCCTCCCCCTTTTATGTTTGTCTGTTTCAGAGTATTTTACTTTTCTTTGTTGCCATGCTTTATCCCTATATTAATATTGTTTCCTGCAGTATACATCACGGTGAGATGCAGCAAAATGGTCCGGGACATAAATCATGCAGTATGGCAATCTGATCTTTTTTTTGAAATTGGTTATTACCATAACATAGTGTGTGTTAGACAAATACAAAATCTTGCTAGATATGTGTGATGCACCGATTGCACACTCCCAATTTTGATTTGTCATAGTAAGTTCAGTTTTGTGAATACGTTTAAAGTGTTGTGCACTGCTCATAATGAAGGATTTGATGGTGTTCCCACTCAACCAGTAACATTCACTGTAACTACTTGAGACGATAAGTTCCATTTCACTCAAATATATTTCCTTTGTGTTTTTGATTTAATCCTTTGTGAAATATTCCATCCTGAATGGGGTTTGCTGCTTGAAAAACCAAATTGTGTTTTATCTGATATGGGAATTCCCGTAGAAAACCGCATTCCTGGGTCCATAATGAAGGCGTTTAAGCATCCGTATGCATCCATATACTTAGTCCCACCGAATTCGATGATAATTGGTTTGTTTGTGTACCTACCCAGTGACCAGTTCAGGAACTTTCCTTTTAAGTTAGTGGATTAGAAGATTTGGTTCCCTTGCTCGGGTACATGTTTTACTGTCAGAGTACGTATCATTCGGAGCTATTTTTTTACCCCCTACTGTTTGTGTTCCTACATCGGATCCACCCATTTATCCTTGCAACTAAGCAAAGTTAGATCTAGCTTTCGAATGCCGATGAGTGAACATGGATAGTGGTTAGCATTCTGGTACTCCAGTCAGAAGCAATGATGTGAAAAAGGATATGATGAACATCAACTTTGTAAGCTTGTCTGCAATAAACGTTGACTTGGAACACACCGTAATAGCTTTGGAAATTATGCGGCTCGATCACTCACGAAGAAGTCTATGGTGAGGTTTAGAGAACAGATCAAAAACTGCATACACAATGAAACCACATGCCCAATTCTTTCCGGAAAACGTTTTGCATCAGCACCTCCACGGAATCGAGAAGTTCGGATGGAATAGCCCAACAGCCATCTCATTTCTCGGACCATGACATACCCAATGGAGGATTTGGCTTACAATATTGGGTAAATTGGTGATTCATTGATAAAGATATAGCCCACCCGAAGCAACTTATCCGCCACTCAAAACAATTTATAAAGACCTGGCAGAGATAGGGAGAGCAGAGTATTTGCAATGCATTACATTTCATTCTGACCGACTGTTACAATTTTATGACTCCAACGATGAGTCATTCATACGTGTCAATGTCACGTCACCGCGGCGACCGACACACTTTTGAGGAACTATGGCATTGCTTCACGGCTAACGCTTGTGTCCCCAATCAGATGCATGCACATGTGCACCTTTCTGGAGCCTAGAAAATCAGCAGTCACTCCTCGACCCAATAAGCTTGTTGTGACTCAGTAGAATGTGATAGAGATGTACGAGAAGGAAACCTGACTGAGATTCTGTCGTATCACCTGCCATGACATGCGCATGACAATTTGACAATGATTCTTTTATATAACCCATCCCCTGGGCGAAATAAGACAATCACTTACACATGCACATGGTTCCCCCCCCCCATGTAACCGAGTCATTGGCTGCACTGACAGAGCAATACAGCAGCATATCTTGGGGGCATAAGACAGGTCAGAAGTAATGATTCAACTCAACGTTGCCCAGCAAACTCCACATTTTGACCGCGTACATTGTTAGCTATCCAAAGTAAATAATCGCTTTAAAGTCGACTGCTGCGAAAATACGTGATGTCCGGATTCAGAAGGCAAATGCCATCCTGACTTCGACTATCCGAGTCGGTCCATCACGGCGTCTCATTCACGCGGAACACGTATGGAAGAAGGTGTAAATAAAACATTGATCGTCAAACCCGACGGAAAATGGGTAGAAATGAGATGTTGAAAAATTTTGAAAACGCTACGCGTCACCTGATTGGATACACTATTTTTATTCCCACAGACTCACCCACAGGCAGACTATGACAAAACAAAGTAACGAACATACCAGGTTACACCGATTCTTTCAGTGGCTAATTAATGCAGCGGAATTGCTATCATAATGTTCTATGAAGTAAATACATATTGAAGATGGATCACTTTACATACATGCACTGATCTGGGTAATGGAGGGCAGAGTGGCTGTCTTTGTCTAATGTGACCATGGTCTTGGGAAGCAAAAGGTGCTTACGAATAAGGTATAGAGGTGGATTATATAGGCGGGTTCTGAACGCTCCTGCTTCGGCCAAGGTGTGACTCCTAAATCCCTTAGGATGACGGCCGTGAACGTAATGATTCAGCCACATTCACCACGAGGTGTGACTCCGCGAGGAGAACAGGATCGAACTAGTCCATCTACGATTCCCCTCAGGTTCGCTGCTGTTCTCGAATTTTTTCAGTTAACCGTCTGCTCCTGCGGTAATTATACGTTGATACACGCTGGCAAGTAAATCAGTGCACAGATAAAGAGCGTACAGGAGAAGTCAGTTTAGCCTAGGATTAGAAATACAAGAGTGGTTTGATTTTGGTCCTACGCTAGTGATGATATTCAATGAGCTGTGTTGCCTCAAACTTTTTATTCAAAAACTGTCGTGTCATGTCATGCTTGAATGTGGTTCAGGTTTGGCCTCGATGGAGTGAAGCACATGAGAGAACTGTTCACCTTTGAGTCCGGCATTTCTTAACCATCGTTCAAATGCATGAACGGGAAAAATGATCACAGATACCTATAGTCAATATTTCACTGTCGTTGTGGGCTGATCCTGCTGAGCTTAGTTTTATTTGATTGTTAAATAGCTGTAACTTGATAGATTATCTTGCATTACTAATGAACACTAGGTCAAATTAACATTTCTCCACTTTTATTTTCATCATAAGATGTGAATTTAATCCATTTTATTCCCTGATGTTAATGTGCACAGGTAATTGCCCGAGACAGTGCTCCGGAACCGTACACTCTAACGGGGACCGCACTGGTCGAAGTCACTCTAACCGATGAGAATGATGAGGCCCCTATGATACATGTGATGCTTCTACGACCCCCGTCCGGCAGTGAAATGCGTAGCGTGTTGGCTTCCCCGACCGATCCGGCCACTTATCAGGCCACATTGGGCGGAAGTGCAAAATTTCTGGGCGAGTACACCACAAGCATCAACGAGAACCCTCCACCGGAATCCATTATTGCTTATATTCAGGTAAATTGTTGTTCACGTGAATGGCAATTGATCGATCTGAATTGGTCATAAAACTGTAGTTTTGTCGACCTGTACTCCTCGAAATCACATCGTTATCCTATATTCAATGAAGCACCAACATTTGGAGAAACCGTGATATCTTATCAATCAATTATCGTTATGGTTGTTAATTTCTTCAGTCCTTAAGCAGAAGAAATTACAGGTAAGGAATCCCATACAGCGTCATTAAAACAGCACAGTGACAAAACTAAATGCTGTTTATTGGTCCAAATTCATTTGGATATAACAATGTTTTAATTTTATTTTCCCAGTATCCCGTGTGAGTCTGAGCACTTAGCGTCATACTGATTTGATACATTCAAATGCATTCTAAAATGTCATGACCAAAAAGATTGAAATATTCACTCGCTGGGTTCTGTGTATTCGCTTAGTCAATACGGGAATGAAAGTGATCATATTATTTGGCCATACGTTCACGGTGTTAACCACCGACTGTGGTTAGGGTTCTGAATTTCAAAACGGAGTCTTCCGGTGGAGACAAACATCCACATGGCTGACTAGTCCGAATAAGGACAAGGGCTGTGCGTTAGCCTGAACATACCTCAGAATTCTTACCTACTCCTTGAAAAAGTTCCAGTTACTTCAAGCTGCACGGCAGAATCCAGTGATCGATGCATCTGTTTCTTCTACCGAGTTTGCTATCTTTTCCAATGATGACAAATCTTTCAGTTGTTCGTTTCTTGCATGATACCTTATTTTTTGCTATGATCATTGTTTCCCAGTTGAGACTTTACATATTCGGACTGACAGATTCTCGTCGTCTCCTCTAAAACGGCTCCGTTGTGATAAAGAAAAGGCCTACAGGACTGGAGGGAACAAGGTTGTTAAATATCTATAATTATCAATGAAAATGGAAATAGTGCGCCTAAATCGGATGCTTATTGAAATTGTTTTAGGAAATAAGAACCACCATGATATGTGGTCTAGGGATCACATAACAGCTTTTTCCTGGGTGTTGAGGAGTTGAACTATCGATTCGCAAGTGCGTCAGTACTAAACTCAATACCACCTTCATCTGCATCTACTGCAGAGAAACAATCTGTTAGCCCGGTGGAAACTTTGAAGGTACTGTAGCCCCTTAAATCTAACAAGACACATGGCCCTGATTCATTATCTCCCCTCCTTTTAAAAGAGTGTGCTGAACAACCTTCTTCACCCATTTCCGAGTTGTTCAGTTTGTGTCATCCGGAGGTATCACCGATTGCTAGAGAGCTGCCCAGATAACACCAATCTCCCAAAAAGTATCTTCCAAATACCCACCGACTGTTTGCACATAAGTACTATTGAAAGTTTTCGAAAGAGTGCTTCTTAACCGAATGATCCTTTTATCTGTTGCTCAGAACCCTATTGAATTCGTTTACAAACGTTCGCTTTTCACTCTTGATGCACTTGGGCACCTCATTCACTCCGTTTCATCTTCATTCGAAAAAGCGTCTGTCATCATCCGTTCAATTTTTCTTCATTATACCAATACTTTCTGATCACTTAACCGCAGGAGACTCAGTTACTTTCTTTTACATTGTGGTCTGACACCTGTTTTGTTGAATGTACTAATCAGTTACTTCTCACATAGGACGCAATTCACTTTTTGTAACGGTATCTCTTTCTTCCTGCTAGAGATTAACCCAGGGGTTTTCGAAGACTGATATTTTGTCTCCATTTCTTTTTTCACTGTTCATTACCGACCTTCCCATCCCTTCTAACTTTCTTGCTTGCAAGTATACAAGTGTGCTGATGATGTGGTAATTGGTTGTTCTTCGACTGATCCTGACTGTTTGTGTCAATTTCAAGTTTGTCAAAATAAATTTTTGGTTGGTCTACCCCCGATCTTTAATGGTCAATTTCGATAAATGTGTAAACATTCCTTTTAGCAATAAAACAGGCTCTAATTCCCAAACCACTTTATTAACCAGCCCGAACTTGCTGTTAACAGTAATATTATCCCCAAAGCCGACTCTTTCAAATATCTTGTAGTTACCTTGTCACAACCTTCCTTGGTCCAATCATGCTGAAAACATTTACGTTATACTTTCACACTCAATAACCTCGGCGTTCTCCCAAATGTAATTCCTAAATGTGTGAC